CACCAGCACGTTCACCCACACCTCAGAGCGGGTGGTGGGGGAGCACGGGGCTGGTGCCAGAGCTGCAGAGCCTGGCACAGCTGTTTGCAGCCCGCCTGCTGCTTGCTGCAGCTGCCCAGGGCCTGGTTTGGCTACAACCAGCTGCACCGGGCTCAGGAAGCCTGCTATCACCTCTGTGCCGGGAGTGGGGGAGAGACCGGGGCTGCGCTGCCTCAGACCCCTCCCCCACCGCCCACTCTGAGGCACAGGTGCACATGCTGGTGCGGAGCTGATGCACAGCTCTTTGGAGCCATCCAGCTGCAGGCGGCCCCAGCTCTGGGGAGCTGCTGCCAGCCAGGAGCCCGGGCTGCTCCCAGCAGACAGCTAGGATGCTACAAGCTCTGCTGGGAGCAGCCTAGGCTCTGTTGCTGGCAGCAGCTCCCCAGAGCTGGGGCTGGCTGTGGCATGCTGAGCAAAATGGCCTTGCGTGCCATACTTGGCACGCGTACTGGGGGTTGCTGACCCCTGCTCTATACCATGGGTCGCAAACAAATACCTTATTTATAACCTCCAGTCCCTTTTGTCATGTGATTCCTTTTCAGCCTCAAAGTAACCAGCACACCCACCTGAGATCTACTTATCACCCCTTGGAATTCAGACTTCAGTAACTTTGCCCTAGGCAGTAGCCCCCTCTTAGTCTCCAGGGTTAGGGACAGACATGACACATAAACCAGTTTAAGGGATCAAAAACTGGTTTAAACCTGTAACAAATCATAAGTACAGTGCACATAAACCAGCCTCAAAATGGCTGAAACTGGTTTAAGATAAACCTGGTTGAATGTAGTATCAGACTTAACTGATCTGGGTCAAACTGGTTTATGCAAGTCTGTCCCAGGCCCCTTTCTTGTTTAAGTTAAACCAGAGTCCCCCAGCATCCCAGATGCTTTGCAGCTCTGGGCTGTGCTCTCTGTGCCAGAGAGCAGGCCTGGCCCTCCTCCTCTGCTCCCTAGCCAGAACTCCAGCAGAGATTGCATGGCTTCCCCTCTCTCCCCTCCCCCCTTGCCACTGGCTGCTCAAACAGGGGTTCCCCCTCCCTCCCATCTCCCACAACACCAACCTGAGCCCCATGGACCCTAGCCACCACGTGGCATGCTAGCTAATGATGAGACGTGCAAACAGTATAAAGAAGCAGGAGGGAGATTGAAAAACTCCGCATCAACAGATCCAAGCACTGCACACCCCTCTTTGCCTCAGAGTGCTAGCCAGGGGCTGGCAACAGTCCCACCCCTTGAATAGCTAATCAGAGCACTCTGCTGGGGCCCAGCCATTGCCCCCCACTCAGCACTATGGAGGGGAACAAAGGGTGCTCTAGCACCCTCTGGCTTCTAGCCTAATCCATTGCAGGCATGTGCCTGCACTTCCTCAGTCCAGAGGAAATGTCTGTGAACTTGCAAATCGATTCAGTCTAGGCAGGTTCAACTAACCTGCAAAGATTGAATCAATTCAGCACTGGCTTTTTGAATGTCTGTCTCTAAGTAAACAGAAGATCTTAAAGCTTCAATGCATCTCCATTAGCCCTGATCACAATATGTTTTATTTCAGTTCAATACAGGGGTAAAATGATAACAATGAAGGTAGAGAAGCCTAACCTTTCCAATGGCATTTACTCAGACATAGAGATAAGTCATAAATTGTACAGATTCTCCAAATCATTACAACTGCAAGTATGTTTGCAACTTTGACCATCTGCCCCTCAGCCTGGAATACACCCTGGTGCATGTCACAAACCAGGGAAGGGAACATTTCCTTCAGTTGGTTCATATAAAACACTACAAATCTATGTAACAAAAATATAGTTTCTTTATTTCACAATGCCTAAATGATTTCCGGATTACTCAGAGGTTCCTATAGAGAATAGCAGTAATAGAGCACAGCTGCAATAGACTAAAAGTACATGAAAGAACCGAAGTGTTAGGGAACAAATTTTAATGGAAGCCTCCAAGAAAACACTGATTTTCAACCTGAATGAGAAAGCTGAGTTCATGATGTTGTACAGGGATTAAGAATTGATTTCAGTGGCAGTTGCAGATAGTTGGCCCATTTGGGATCAAGCCTTTATCGATAACAATTATCTGATTCATTCCCACAATGGCATGCTCTGTCATGTTTTACCTTCTGGGAGGTAGAAATTCAGTGGAGTGGAACAGTAGGGAGACATGACCAGTACTCCTAGTTGTAGATCAAGATCTGTAGAAACAGCAAGGGCCAGAACTTGTCGATCTTAATCCTTATACACATGTTTCATAACAAATAGAACATAAGACTAGAACTCAAAATCTATGTTCTAGTCCCATTTTTCCCATGGTCTGGATGTTAAATTATGTGCCAGTAATTTAACCTTTCTGTGCCACAGTTACCTTTTCTTTAAAACTGGGACGTTAACGCTTGGTCACTTTTGCCAAGTACTTTGAGATTTGTGGATGAAATAAATCATTGTAAAGAATGCATTTTTATTGTAACGTGTGCCTCTGTGAAATAGCAGCAGATGACTATAGAAAGCACCTGCAATAAATGTCTTCCTAGAAGGAATCTTAATGCTTATTCTAGAGTGTCTGTACAGTTAAACTTCTGCTGAAGATTGAGAGGCAAATCTGCTTTGTGTATGAGAGAGAAAATTAGAGAGATTGTAAATGATGGGAAAGCAAATGAACAAGGTTTTATCACAGTTTTAAATTAAAGCTCCACATTATTTTCTTTTTCCCCCTTTGTAGGAAGTGTTACCACTAAAGCAGCTGTTTGTTTATAGCATGTGGCAGCACAGAGGAGAACATCAGATGAGATCAATTCTAATATTTTCAGGTACACAATTGCCTCTTAATCTTGACAGGGCTTTGTTAGGTCTAGTAATCCACCTAATCAACTCACTTTGCAACCTTTGAAAATACTTAATTACAGCATCTGGTACGTCCTTGTGCTAAATGTGCCACCACAGAAGGAAAGAGCTATTTCCCAAACAGCACTTTTGGATTCTAGCAGAGCAGTGCCAGCAAAACAGGAGAGCCACAGATTAAACATTATTCTCCGGTTGCATAGAAAGTCATCCCTTATTCTTTGCTATTTTTTTCCAGTTGCATTATGCCACATAATAAGCAGGTTTTGTTTTCCTATGCTATCATTCTTTCTACTGCCATAATTTCTTTCATTCTGCAGTGTGGCTTGACTAGAGGTTAATGATCACAGATATTTTAGATTACTTATCGGTAATTATGTGCAAGCAAGACCTCTCCTGGTCTCAGTTTCCCTACTTTCAAGACAGCAATGATACGTATGAAATATACTTAAGAACATGGAAAGACAACTTCTTTCTATCAGTTCAGAAGAAAATATTCTTCAGAATGACTGCCAGAGGTATACAATGAGATCAGTGAGTATATATGGAATGGGAGTTGGTATCACTAATCAATGAATATCCAGTATTGTTAAGATGCTCCATTCCCGCACAAGAGTCATCTGGGTTTTATCAGGCCTAAAAAACTAATCAGGTCCACATTTTTAAGTATATGTATGGCAAGTTTGTCATTTGCTTGCTTAAGGACTTGTGTGTGCCCATATCCACATACTCTCTGCATTCTTGCTTTTTCAACCAAGAAACACAGACAGGGTTTTAAAAATGTAGGCCATTAAAAATGAAAATGGTTCTAAAAAGATAAAAGAAATACTCCAACAACAAGGAGTTGTAAATTCATGAAATCCTATATCATATGGTGAAAAACAAGTGTAGTTGTCAACCAGGGATACATGTACTCCTGGAGGTACTTGGAAAGGGGCCAGGAGGTACGTGTGAGCAGGTGGGGATGGAGCACCAGTACCCACCACCCCTCACTGCTGCCTCCCAGGAGCAGGGCCGGAGGGGTGGGGAGCGAGGGCAGTGGCTCCCCTCTGCAGGCCACACAGGCCTCAGCCAGACATGGGGGGCGGGGAGGGTGGAGCTTGCATGTGGCCACCACCACTGCCATCCACCACCTTGTGCCACCCACGCTGTTCCACATCTGGCCGCCGCCACCGGCTGCTTTGCAACCTTTAAGAAGGTTGAAAACCCCTGCAATAGAGGATTTACTTCAGAAGATTGTCACAAACCCATCTACAAGGTACTTTCAAAGCCCCAAGTGTTTTTCTGCTGTCCTAGAGACAAGCAAATGGGCTAGAGGTGATATCTTTTATTAGACCAACAATTTCTTTCTTTGCAAGCTTTTGGGTCAGGCTGAGGAGAATTCAAAGACTGTAAAAGTTCTCTCAGGAAGAAAAGAAACTTCATTTTGCACAGGGGCGGTAAAAGGTGGAAGTTTTTTCCCCTGGGATCCTCAGGGTCCTTTTGTGAGAGAGTTGCTCTATGATATGCAGATTAGACATCCCTGTGTAGGAACCTATCCAACTCTCATTGACAGCTCTGAATTCAGTTAAAAACAACAATGGTTTGGACCCACATATGCCACTTAATTAAGCAAGTCCCCCAACCACTAAGTTATAAAATGGAGAAAGTAAGAGAACTATCCATCCTTCCCCTGTTTAAGTTGTGCCAGTTGGTCACCAAAAGAGAAGAGTTAAAGAGCTAGAGAGAAAACAAGCTAAAAGAAGCATGCTTGCATGGTCCATTGACCACAACACTTTCCCAGAAGGGGGAGCCCTGGTTTCTAGTACCTGCTGCCAAGTCATTCCTATTTTTCAACCAATGGCTATCTAAAGCAAAATACAAAAATAGCTGTGAACAATGCTTGGGAATGTGACTGCAGCCCAGGGATGAAAGCAGTCCCTTGGGGTTTGCAAGGATTCCTGAGTCCCAGTCCCTGTTCCCAGGACTTTTTGCATTTTATATTAGGCAGTCACTTTTATATACCTAAAGCCACAGCAACAGTGACTAGAACATAGGTCTGCCTTTTCTCTCCTTTCCATGCACTCCGAAGTCAGACTGCGTCATTTATTTCAGGGACTTACGGTGCTTACTCAGCACTATTTCAAGTGCTGCTAGGAAGAGCACCCTGCTTCTGCTTCACTTGGAAATGATGCAATTAAATCACTTCAGGTGTGCTTCCGGCCAGCTGCCACTCTGGAGCTTTCTGAGCCTGACATGACTGAGAAGTAGCTAAGGTTCCTCTAATCATTAAATCATGTTTGTTTAATGGAAAAAGGAAATTTAATTTAAAGAAGAAACAACAGTTAATCGTGAATTTTCAATCATCCAGCACAGAAAAAGACAATACCAGGTGATCTGAAGAGTTAACTTAATACTAATATCTAAATTACTACCCATATATAGTACTGTGCATATCTACAACACTGAGAATGTTTTGCAAGTAGCTCTTAGGCTGATAATTTTTCAGACATAGGATTCAGACTGTTTCAAAAAGCAAATGAATTAATAGAAAAATGATATATGCAGGTAAGAAAGCTAACCATACCACAGTCTCTCTTATGAATTCTGGTCCAGCTTTGGTTGAAATGTCCAAGTATAGAACTAGGCTATCGTGTCCTACCGACGTAAACTCCTTTTCTTTCCATTTCAAGCCAATTCCTACACATTCCCATATTCATTAGTTCACATTCACTAAATTTTGAATCCATTTTAGCTGAATGGATTGTTTTTCTCATTTCATCTCCCTACTCACTCAGCCACAATGAAGTTAAATATAAGCCATATTTCCATGCACATAATTAGGTTCTAGCTAAGTACAATTGCACTTTTTCTTTAGAAAAAGGAAAAAGAAATCAAGAAATAAAGAGAAGGATGGGCAAAGCTGGTTCCACTTACTTCCCCAACAAACTGCTAGGGTTTTTGCAATATGTTATGGTCCATTACTCACTATTGCTTCTCAGGGAATTTACAAGAATAACCAGAAACAAGTAAACCCTCCAGTACTTCTGTGCTATTTTTTCAGCATGTTCACATGTGGCTTTTATCTTACAATGAAATTATCTCTTCCTATTGTGAATAAATGTTGATTACAACAGGGAAGCATTATTTAATTTTAACCACAGAAATAAAATGTTTTGCAGGTGCTGAAATTAAAGCCAGTGTAACTTTTTAAATTTGTGTGTCATTCTTTTAATTATTCATTACAGTTCAGGAAGCAGAAGCAATAAATCCCATTTTTCCATTTTACAACAAAGAGAAAAGTGTAAACTTTCCCTTTCCTCACATATATTAACACACTGCAGGCTAAGTGCAGTGGAGTTTTTATAGTTAGAAAACAACTCACAGTATTGCAGTCTTATACTTATTTGCATGTATTAAATGCATCACCCACTCCAAGACTTGTCCTCCTGCAAAAAGCTTCTTTAAACAACTCAAGAATGCTTAAAAATAGTATGTTCAGTAAATGTGTTGTCTTAACTGTTTATGCAACCACTGGTATGTCTATAGTTACTGGGCAAACAGACTTTTGAAACGCTGCAATTTTCTACATCCCAGAGAATTCACACATCCAGGATAATTTTTTCATTCAATTAACCATTTTAAAAGTGCTCTCCAGCCATGTATGTGTGTTAACTCACGGCTATACAGTGCTTTCGTGGGTACAACTGCAGGAAAAATGTTACTTGTGTATGCACCCCAACTTCACTAGGACTTCATACTGCCATAGGTGGGCCAGCATTTTTATCCATACCTGAAGTTCTTATAATGGGGAGATACAGGGCTAAACTTCAATTCAGAAGTGCTCTAAGCAAGGGGCAGTACATTATGGAATAGCCTTTGGAGTAAGCCAGCAAAAAGACTTTGGTGGAAAGTTGTCTCTCAGAAACAATGTCCCTGCTACTCCACAAGGGAAACCAACAGCACTGTCTTTACTTCATGCAGCATATACTGCCTGATCCATTGGTGCAGCTCCTCTATTTCTTCATGCTGCCACACCAGCTGCACCATTATTTGATGCACTTGGATTATGGCATCATCTATCAAGCATGCTATATGATCCAGATCTTACATGACCATTGTAGTTCATCATAACTGAAAAGCATGAGGTATCTTCAAAGTCCCAAAAAGCCTATAGTCATCTTGTCATCATGATTCAGATCCAGCTACACTAGCTGATAATAAAAAAACAATACCCAGCTCATACAAGGCAATTTGTAAGAGATAAGTATCATTATCCTCATTATACAAGATAGGAAAACTGAGACAACATACTGAGGGACTTGACTAGGGTCACTCAACAAGATAATGGTATAAAAGTCTGCCAAGTCCAAGTTTGATTTACTATCCAACAATAAAATAATTGCAAAGGAAGTAAATATCAATATATGCTCCAAGGAAAGCAATTTCATAGTTGCTACTTTTATCTTATAGTGATGTTTGTATGGTCTCCATGCATTCAGAATAATTATATTTGGATAAGATACTTTAATTGGCATTATCCAGTTGCTACTTTCCATCTCGACTGTTACATGATTTTCAGTGGGCCATATCAGCCCTGGCACCCTGGCTCTTGGGGTGTGCATGCCATTGGACAAGGTTTATGAGGTACTAGCTGGGCTTAAAATTGAATTCTATAGGTTTTTGTTAAGCTTCTAGCCCAGGGACAGAAATTACATATATAAGTGATTGGAAACCAGTTCAAATCTGTAACGCAATAGAATGCACATAAACAGCTTTCAAAAAGGCTGAAACCAGTTTAAGACCAACCTGGATGGAAGTAGCATCAGACTTGACTGAATTAGGGTAAGTCAGTCTACCCAACTTCTGTCCCAGATCCCACAGTGAATCCAGTTAAGCCATAGTCCTTCAGCATACCTACACGCTTTGCAGCCCCAGCTGTCAGCTCCTGCCAAGCTGGGTGACCTGCACCTCCCGCTCCACCCCCGCCGTCACAGAGCTGAGGCAACAAAGCCTCTGCTTCACAGCTGGGCCTGCTGACAGCATGGTGGGGGCCAGGCAAGGGGGTGAGGAACTGATTCCCCTACTCTGACCCCCCCCAGCAAGAGTCTAACCAGTAGTTGGGAGGGAAACCCCCAGGCATGGACTTTCCCTTCCCCTTCCAGCCCAGCTCCACCAACTTGTAGCAAGAGCCCCTTCACCAGCCCTTGACATGTCAAGCACAAGAAGAAATGAACACTTTGGCTTCTGCTGATGCGGGAAGGACTGGAGCAGGGGTCCATCCCCTTCCTTGTCTGGCCCCCTGTGGCTGACAGGTTGGGGGCTGGTGCATGGATGGGGCCCTGATGTTCCCAGCCACCACAGGAGGACTTAGAGGAGACAGGGGAGGGAAAGCCTGTGCTTGGGGGTTTTCACCCGTCAAACCAACCCCTGCTGGGTGGGGGGCGCAGGCCAGAGCAGGTGTCCATTACCCCGTGCCTGACAGGCTGGGGGCTGGCAGGGGGGCAGGTCTCTCATGTTTCCAGCTTGGGGGAGCTGAGAGGTATTTGTGAGTGCCCACCTCCTTCTGAAAATGACCAGTTCAAACATTTGTCTGTCTTGGCCAAAGAAAAACTGAACAGCAGCTCAGTTCGGTATAATTTCAATCCATGCAGCTTAGAGAAACTGGTGTAGATTGAATCAATTCCACCTCGGGCTTTTCACTGTCTGTACTTAGACCTATAGTGGCACATGTCATCGTGAAATCTAGTTTTGGAGCTATCCTTTAGTATCTTATTCTGGTGTATATGCATTTTATCCACGTGAAATACATTGGTCCACATATGCACAACTGTTTGATTATATACATCTCCCTATTTATATATTAATATCAGTTAGCCGTTTCCTCATATTTAACAGACATTCATTTGGCCACATATAAGGATTTCTTACTAAACTTTTCCCAAAAGAAACTGAATGTCTTTATGAGACCACAGAAATATCACAATAAAAGCTGTAGTCCATCACAATTACATTTAGCAGGTGAATTATCGAAGCAGATTTTAAGGGTGGCTCTTGTCTTCTCTGCTAACTCAAGCCCTTCCCCAAAGTCATTCTTCAGCATATGTCTAGATTTTAGCCCAGAGTCCCTCCTCAGTACAAAAATCTGTTTGGGGGGCTCATGAAAAGAAAGGGTGCAAGAGGGACTTAATTACCCAAGGACAGATTCAGTAGCAGGACAAAGGAACACCAAAAAATCCAAGAGGGCTACAAAAGAAATGCTTTATTAGGAAATTAGGAAGGGATGGAAAGAGTTGTTACTACTTCCTGCCTTAGTGAAATCAACAATACAATAGCCCAAACACGCACATAAATGGTTCTGGCTAATTCAGTAGAACTGTGCACGTCAGTCAAGTTTAATAGGTGTGTGAGAAGTCTGTTTGGGATCTGGACTTAAATATATAACTGCTGCATATTCATTACCTGTACCACATTTCAAGTTTCAAAACTCAACTTTGTTACGGAGATCAAAAAGTTTGATTTTTTTAAATATACTTATTATGTATAAACGAAGCCAAATGGATTTTGACACTTGCAGAGACCTACAGTGAAAAATCTCAGGTCAAAATCTGCAGCATAAAAAGCACAAAAGTTTTATATGAAAGTAAGTAGCTACAATAAAATATTGTGATTACTCAGTTCCAAGATAAGGTATATTTCCTCATAAAATCTGGGAAAAAATAACCCTCATGTTAGAATCAAGTATCTAGGGTCCTTCACTGTTCCCTGACTTTGTGCTGATTACCCTGCTGCTCTCTGGCTCCATGCTGGGTCCTGCATTGACCCCTGGTTCTGTGCCAGGTGTTCTCAACCTCCAGCCCATGGGCCATATGTGGAGCCAAATCATCTGGTCTGTGGGACTCTCCATGGGTCAGCAAATATAACAGTGGGGGAGCAGTGGAAATACCACTGCCAGGCCCCACTCCCTCCCCGCCCACTGGTACAGGGTCATGTGCCTCACCTTCACCCCCCACCATGGGATTGGCCATGCCCTGTTCACCCCCTGCGAGGCTGGGTCAAGGCCAGCCTACATCCTACTCCTCCCCCATGAGTGAGACTGGCTGGGCCATGCCCCGTTCCACCCTTAGGGCCAGGTTGGAGCCAGCCTGCACACACTTTCCCTCTTGCAAGGCCAAGTCAGGGCCTGGCCATGCCGCCTCCCCCCACTACATTTCAGAAAGCATTTAAATAAACAAAATAAGTCTAAATAAACAAAACAGTAAAAAGACAGAGAGAAGTAAAATCCAGAGAGATTAGGGCCAAATCCCAAAAAAGGCCTTAGGTGCATAAATTCCCTTTATGGCCAAAATTACAATCCCAGTCTGCCACTTCCTCCTCCTAGTAAATTTCTATCTGCCTGTAGACATGCCTAAACCCTGCTGGTACCTTAATTATTTATCTTAAAATTCCCCTGGAAACATTCCACTTCTGCTTAAGCCCTTAGTGCCTCAATCTTGATACTGCTGAGCAACCTGGCACCCCAACAGGGATCAGAAACCAGGCATGCCTCTGTATCTACTCGGAGGGGCTTGATCTGGAATGAATCATCAAGGTATACTATGAGAATCAGACTTTGCTCCAACTACAATGGAAGAAGTTTTCAGTCAAAAGCTGACAGCAGAGGGAGAAGGCATAGGTGGAAAAGTTCTATGCAATAGCAAAGTGGTCACAGTATTAGCTCATGATATAGGAGACCCAGGCTAGGAACAGACATTACACATAAACCAGCTTATCAGAAACTGGTTTAAACCTGCAACAGAACAGATGTTCAGTGCACATAAACCAGTTTGAGATAAACCTGGTTGAACTTAACTGATCTGGGTAAAACTGCTTTATGCAGTCTGTCCCAGATGCCTTCCTGGTTTAACTTAAACCAGAGTCCCCCAGCATCCCAGATGCATTGCAGCCTGGGGTGGAGCTCTCTGCTCCAGAGCAGAACTGGCCCTGCCTGTCAGGTCCCTGGCTGGAGCTTCAGGGGAGACTGCAGACACAGCAGTGTCTGCGTGGCTTCCCCTTGCCCTTTCCCTCCTTGCTCAAGCAGGGATTCCCCCACTCCCCTCTCCCACAGCATGAACCATAGCCAGCATGTGGTGTGCTAGCTAATGCTGTGAGGTCTCTGTAAGGCAGACAGGACAAAGGCAGTCAGGGATTTTTGGAGCTAATCAACAGGTCAGCTGGTAATGTCCCTCCATTCCCTCCTTGGAAAAAGTTGTTTAAGAAGAACTCGAACTAATGACAGAGGCTTTTGTTTTCTTGATGGAGTGCTAAAGGCTCCCTAATCCGAGCACCCTGCTACAGCCTGCCCATGTACACCCTCAGCTCAGCACTGTGGAAGGGAAAGAACGCCTGCTCTGGCACACTGCAGCTTCTAGCCTGAAGTAATGCAGGCATGTGCCCACATTTCTTCGGTCCAGAGGGAATGTCTGTACAGTTGTAAACCGGTTCAGCCTAGCTAGGTTAGACTAACCTTCAAAGAGTGAATCAATTCAGACTCAGGCTTTTTGAATGTCTGTCCCTAGCCCCAATGTCAATTCCTCCTGTGCCTTAGAATGCCTAAACCAAATGAGGCTACAGGCATCACTGTAGCTGGGCAATCTCCACCTCTCCTGTTGGAGCAACAGCAGTAGCTTAACTAAGTAGTGGGGGGAAGAGAGCAACAGCCACAGGAAGTAAGCAAGAGAGGATGGCTTTGTCGGTGCTGACAGATGTGCAGCTCCCTGCTGTAACTCACGGCGCTTTACAGAAATTGCCATGAGTTACAGTGAAACCCTCACTGCAACAGACATTTTCTGTTGGGTCAGAGAGGTAGGAGATTGAGCTCCACTTTGGAGCTGATTCAGGAGAAGCTGCATGCCAGCAGCCTCTGTCCCCTAGCCCTTTACCCCACCTCTCAACTCTAGTGCTGTCTGCATGGCGGGAGAAGGGAGGGGGGAGCTCTGGGATGGGGTTTTCCAAGTTTGCACTGGAATGGGAGGAGGTGGATTACAGCCCCTCCACCTTGGGGGCTCTAATCCACCTCCTCTCCAGCACACTTTAGGCAAACCCCAGCCTGGAGCTCCCTCCTCCCCTTCTTTCCTGTCCCATCCTGCAGACAGCACCTAGGGCAGGGCTGGAATGGGCTGATGCAGTCCAGCCCTGATCAGACGCACATTAATGAAGGTGCTCCACTTAGGAACTACTTCAGCTGAATCCTCATTAAATTAGGGTTAATTTGTTGCGTGATTGGTCACTTGTAAAGTGCTCTGTAGCTGTGCATTTCTGTCAGAACTCAGCTGTAGAGTGCTCTTAGGGGGCCAATTGCATGATTAATGTCATTTCTGTCAGCACCCTGTGTCTTAGTAGTCAGGTCATTCATGGGAGGGAAAGAGAATGTACGTCCCCACTTAGTCCTCTTTAGCGACCATACCACACTTTTCTGACTAGCAGATCATTTGCAAGTTATTCCTTGTTAATAAACTTCTGTCATGCAGAGATTCTTCAAATACACCACCTGGCTTCATATTTATTTTAAGCTGCCTTAAAAAAAAATCTTAAGTAAATGCCAAAAAATATATGGAGGCCTTCTAACAATTCACCTGCAAATTAAATTCAGTGACTAAGATGTGAAGCCTTGTTTTTCAGTCACTGCAAAAAACACCTGGTCCTTTTCCAGATGAATGAGAGCAGTCAGAAGGAAAGACAAACGGAGAAAAAGCCATACACTATCAGTCTACTTCCCTGCATATTGCTAAGTGACAGCAAAACTGCATTAGGACTAAATTGGTCTCAGTCAGTTTCTTTCTCCCCAAAAAGGACT